GTAAAATCTAAGGGTGCTGACATGTAACTAGGGTTGGGAACCGAAACTCGGTTCCAGATGAGAACCGATAAGAAAATGCCGGGTACCGGGTACTAATACAAAATACACAATTTCTGTTCTGCTTAACGGTTCCTAAACGCGGTAGACCCTGTATTCCAGCGGGTCCGTCTGCGCCGCGGCGACCCGGTGGAATACAGGGTAAGGGCGGACTGGCCATCTGTGTGGTCTGGAGAATCACAGAACGGCCGGTCGTCAGCGGGCCGTTGACGGCCGGCTCGGTACGCTGACGGCCGGCACCGCCCTTAATTTTTTTAAACGGCATCAAGTAAGTTGCGCTGACAGGCGACAGAGGTCCACAGTTTCCCCGCAGCGAGGCTCCCCCCGCCCTCCCGTAGACAGTTCACAAGCTCAGTCACTTCATAACACCAAAGATGGGTCGCGGTAAACGCTCTAAAGTGAGGCTCCACTACACTAAAAAAGAAAAAGACAAGGCACAGTTTAATGCCTGTTAATAGCTTGCCACAGGCATAGCTCAGTTAAAATAAAGCATGGCTATTGTGCAATACATTTGTATTGCATGTATATTTTTTAATTTGTAAAAATATCAGTTAAAGCTTAAAAGAATAAAGATATTTTTGTTATCTAAACGTTTGACCTCTTTCTTTTACAATTTTGGAATCGAAACGGGGAATCGATTTCATTTCATTTCATTTCAAACCTTTATTTATCTAGATTGGTCCCATTGAGATCATAGATCTCTTTTTCAAGGGAGACCTGCAGCAATTAGGTAGAACCGGAATCAATAAGCAGAACCGGAATCGATACATTTCAAACAATACCCATCCCTACTTATTATTGATAATTAAAGCAACAATCCTGCATTACATCCTTACTTCATGAACAGGGTAGTCTTCAGCTTGTTGGAACTGTTTTAGAGAGGTGTTCAACGTTATGACCAAAGAGCAGACTGATGCATTCTACAATCATTATTATGAATTGGTGGACAAACTATTTACTCTCTGTAAAAAGCAGTACAATCAACAGCAGTAGAAAAGAGCAGCCTCCAAAAGCAGAAGTTAATAACCGACAGAATGTTCGTGGTTACACTCACTTCAGAGGTCAGTGGAGTTTGTCCTCCAGGCCTTTGTGCTGCTTTGCATACGTGCTTGACCTATTATGTGTTCGCCAGTTGAAAGAATCCTGCTCAGCCTCATCTAATGTAATGTTTCTTTAACACATAGTGAGGGGAAGATACATTAATAAATAATGAAAATATGTATCTTTCAAAACAGGTCTGAAATGTTTAATCTTTCAAAAGGCTCAATTATGTATTTCCTGTGACAGCTGCCACTGTAGCTTTCAAATACTCAAACTAAAGGAATTAGAGCATTTGTTGGGGACTATTTTCTTTAGGTGATTAATCTACAATTTAATGTTTTGTGTGTAGACAGATCTGGAGGTAGTCACTTATAAGACCAAAACCAGCACTGTTAGTATGTCTCTCATTGCAGGCAAGCCAACTTCTGACTAAAGACAAACATTTCTCCCAAGTTCTCCCAACAGCTACTGTAGTGTTTTATGAAACATTACATGACGCAAGAAGAAATAGTGCATTTGTTTGGGAATATTTTCAGCAGCAGGTTTATTTACATGTTGTGCTCTCTGAGTGTTTCCAGCTACAGCAAGTGAATGCAGGAAAATAACCTACTGTGTTGGACAGAGGAGTAAAATACTGTATATCAGACATAATACATAGCAGTTGTTAGTAGATACATCTTTCCAGGCTTTGGTATCAGTGCCTCTAGTCTAAAGAATGGAGTCATGTGAATCTTAGCTTGGGGTTCACCCTGACCTGTCTTCAGGGGCGGACTGGGACTAAAAATCAGCCCGGGAAACTCGACAGGCCGAACGGCCCAACTCGGTACCGCTAGTCAATTGTCAACGGGCCCACTTCGGTACCGGTTCTCCCAATGGCCAGTCTGCCCCTGTCTGTCTTCATTATCACCTGAATAACACTATGATTCTGGTGTGTGAAAAACTGACTTTTTACAGGAAAAATGTCAACAGTCAAATGAAGGTATCTTCTTGTAGCATGAACATGGACCCGAGTGTAGAAGACTGAATGTTGGTAACCAAGAATGTAACACACTAATGGGCGCATTTCCACCATGACGCGGAGCGCGGTTTAAGCGTGCTGTGTCGTGCCGGGCCCGTTTTAGGTTGTGTTTCCACTATGCCTAGTTCCTTCCCGGGACTAATTTTTCACCTTTTTTCTGGCCCGACAAAATGGTGGTTCTATCGGGGCCAACAAACAGGGCTGAGTCGGGCTGAGTTTGCTAAACTAGAGAGAATCGCTGGCAAGGGGGCAACAACTACAACAAGATGAACATATTTGACCGTGATTTAATTGTAATACACGTTTCAAAATGATGCCGAAGTAACAACATACTGATACCAGTTAGTAAAAACCATGAATTAATGCTTTGACAAGTCTGCAGACAGACGGCAGGCGAAAAGCGTTTTAAAATGCGTGATGCTGCATCTTATTACAGACACATGCATTTCCAAACATTCGGTCTACCTACTCTGTAAAATGTATTATCTCTTACACACGGCATCTATTGCACGTCTGTCCGTCCTGGGAGAGGGATCCCTCCTCTGTTGCTCTCCCTGAGGTTTCTCCCATGTTCCCCTTTAAACTGTGGGTTTTCTCCGGAAGTTTTTCCTTGTACGATGTGAGGGTCTAAGGACAGAGGGTGTCGTTTTCTCATACTGATATTCTGCACAAACTGTGCTGTTGTATTTGCTGTAAAGTGTCTTTACTGTAGGATATTTTTATTATATGTACAGCACTTTGGCTCGACCAAAAATCGTTTAAAAATGTGCTCCGACCGTCCACACTCACAGCAACGGCCTATACAGACATAAATAAACCAGCGACTGTATTCGCCATGACACAGACAGTCTGTGGTTTGTACTTTAACTTTTGTCTAGTTTCTGAACAGATATGAGGAGCTGTGAGCTCTGAGTGCTAACAGCTAACGGCTGATGTTGGTTTTATGGGGTGCTCATTGAAGATGACGTCACGGCTCCGCCTACACTGCGTTACTATAGTTACTGCCCCAGCTCCTAAACTGTAATGGACGCGCAGCATTAAAGTGAGCCAGGCCTAACGAGGCCTAACATAACCGTACTAAGGTGTGTGTGTGTGTGTGTGTGTGTGTGTGTGTGTGTGTGTGTGTGTGTGTGTGTGTGTGTGTGTGTGTGTGTGTGTGTCAAATTGCTCCTGTGGGGATTGTCCACAGTATTGAGTATGTAAGTCACTTTGGATAGAAGCGTCTAACATGTCATGTAATGTGTGTTCCAGAGCTGAAGGAGGCAGCAGAGAGGGCCCAGGCTCAGTACCGCTCAGAGAAGCAAAGACGCAAAGAGATGGAGCTGAGAGTCAACAACATGGAGGAGGAAGTGCAGGACCTGAAGACTGATAAAGACAGCCTGGAACGAGTATGCCCACTTAGTGTTTGTGTCCACAGGTTCTCTTCAGTCAGAACACATAGAGAGTCAAAGATGATGTGTTACAGAACTAATTCAGGGAGAGTGTTTGAAATGTGAACTAGTTGCCAGTAAATGTTGACAGTTACTTCCCATTCCTTTAAGACACTCTCTGAAAGGAGGCAGAAGTGGCAGGCTGAGCGTCAGCGTCGGGACGAGGAGGTTGAGGAGCTCCGGAAAAGCAGCCAGCTGGAGCAGGACAATCTGAGAGCTCTGCTGCGCAAGGCCAGGAGCAGCACCGACACCGCTGCAGCAGAGCAGGTGGGCCAATCAGAGCCACTGTTGAAATATAAATGATAACGTGATGGTTCAATAACTTGCAATTGTTCATCTTTCTGAATTCCCTTACAAATATTCTGAATCAGTTAATAATACCAGAATCAGAATTGTTTTTCTTACCAAGTAGGTTTACAAATATGAGGAATTTGCTTTGGTATGGTGCATACAAAGAAACAGAAAGAAGAATACGTAGCAAAAAACAGTACAATTATTTAAAAAAAAACACTGTAGAGCTGTGTAGATTCTAAAGAAGTAGTGTGGAGCAGAAATGTGCTAAATGTTGTTCACATACATGTAATGCAAACAGTTTTTCTGGGGTGGATAATAGTCAATGGATGTGGCGAGAGGCTTTGGTCCTTTATAGTATGTTTTATAAAATAGTTTATGTCACGTGACTTCATTGGTAGCATTGCATCCCTCATGTTCTGTGGCCTGCGTGTGTTGCAGCTATGTCAGCAGCAGGCGGAGCTGGAGGAGCAGTGGAGGGGGAGGTGTGAGCAGATGATGGCCGGTGGCAGAGAGCAGCACAGCAGAGAGCTGGCTGAGGTCTACGAGCAGAGAGACGCTCTGCAGGACAGGCTCACCCAGCTGCAGGACAAGGTGGACAACACACACTCCAACATATTCAATCAGCAAGTCTGTCTCATTGGTTATTGATTGGAACTCTACATTTGCACATTATGAGACATGTTGGCTCAGGGGCTTTTTGAACGTTGCCCACACCGGACTGAAACTCCTGATATCTTTCCAACAAATTTATAATGCTGGATATCCATTTGAATAATAATGTAATATCTTTAATATTATGTTTTGGTTTTGTCTTTTAATGTTGGGTCATGGGTTAAGATCATAATAAGGAGCAGGCGAAGTATAATATGGCATTAATGATTTCTGTACATTACTTCAGCTTCAACATATGTAATGAACTTTGTAAGGAACAAAACTATCCAGCCGTTCATACATGTACCAAAAACGTAAGGCTCAAACAGCTTTCACCAAAGAAAACAAGTACACAATGCAGCTTGAAATTCTGTAGGCTAGCTAGTTAGCTTAAAAAGATCAAACTGCTAACTAGCCAGCTTTCTAACCTAGGGTTAGGGTTATCTACGTTCTTTTGTTTTCACAACTGATTTTGTTATTAAACTGAAACAATTAGATGATGAAATGATGATTAGTTCTCAAAGTAGAAAACTGAAAATTAAAATACTAAAAAAATAAAATAAGTCCGAACCTTTTTTTACTTGGATTCACCATAATTGGACACAAGTTGGCTTGACATAGTGAAGAGTTACTATATGATGATTGCCTTATTTTTGCCTCTGTTTCACTCTCAACAGTTCACGGCTGTGAAGCAGTCAAGAAATGTTGAAGAACAGACTTTGCTCCAACACCGCGGGCAGACTGAGGAGCTGCAGGCCCTGCAGGAGAGAGTAAGATGGGGGAGCTGCTGTCAGACACTATGCTCTTCACTGGCAGGGAATGCATCTGTCAGGACATTAATGGCGCATTTCCATTACAGCGCGGAGCTCGCTTTAAGCGTGCCGAGCCGTGCGGGGCCCGTTATTGGTTGCGTTTCCACTTAGCGTAGTTCCGGCTAGCGGGTACTATTTCACAGTTTTCTGGCGCCATAAAATCGAGGTTCTTTCCGGGCCAACAACCAGGCTGAGTCGGGCTGAGTATGCTAAACTAGAGAGAGAATCGCTGGCAAGGGGGCTACAACTACAACAAGATGAACATATTTGACCGTGATTTAATTGTAATACACATTTCAAAATAATGCCGAAGTAACAACATACTAATACCGGTTAGTAAAAACCATGAATTGCGTTATTATAGATTAGTATCTATAGTTCCTAAACTGTAATGGAAACGCGCCATTAACTGAGCCAGTCCTAACGAGGCCAAGCCATACCGAGCGAGGCCGTGTAGTGGGTTTGCGGCATCAGACATCGTATTAAAGTAAATGTTTGCCTCTTTTTATTTCTTAGTACACAACCTTGGAGCAGCAAGCAGTGTGTGTGAGGGAGGCTCTGGAAAGAAGAGTAGCTGAACTGGAGCAGCAAGGCTCTGAGCAGCAGGCTTCTGGGGACTCTTCAGCAGAGGTGGGGTTCCTCCATCAACCCTAAAAAAATGTCTTCCGGTTTTCCCATCATTCATTAAAAGACAAAAGGAGAGAATACAAATCCAGAATGATTAACAATAGCTCATTAGAGCCTCTAGATGTCAGTGTAGGCCCCTCTCACTCTCAGTTCTAGCTTCCCCACACACAAAAAGGAAATCCGAACTACAGGGGGTATGAATGTATGAATGTAACAATTTACATTTCTACAACTTGTGTTTCAGTTTGATATCTGCTTTATGTAGGAGTTTCATCCAGGCAAAATATGAAGAGCTATACATTCCATGCCTTTGACGTGAAGCTGTGCGTTTCTGCAGGTGAAGCGCGTGATGAACGGAGTGTTTCACTCTCTGAGAGGACAGTTTGACCTCAGTGAGTCTTACAGTGGCCAGGCTGTGCTGGGGGTGATCGTCACTACTATCAAGGTGAAGACGTTTCTCACACACACACACACACACACACACTCACACATCTGCAAAAGGTGTACCTGTGGACCATTTGCAAAGTCGCAGCTAAAATGTATTTGGCCGTGTCAGATGTACACAGATCCATAAGTAACATTTTTAAAGGTACTTGTACTTAACTAGTATGTTCCTCTCCTGGCCCTTATAACTTTTGCTTTACTTGATCCAAGGAAATATTTGACTTTTTACCTCATGACGTGAGAGAGCTCACACAATGACATTAGAAATTATGAAGAACAGCTTAAAAAATGTGTTGATTCACAAATATTTAGAAAAGTATAGGTCATATTTAAACATTCCACGCTTCCAGCACCTTACATTTGAAGATTGTCGGCTTTTGTTTTTTTAATATGTTAACAGTTCGAAATGTGCTCCAACTCAAATAAAAAGAGTTAAATCATGCTTTTCAATAAATGAATGAATTAATACAACTAATCAAATGTCGCTCGCTCACACACACACACACGCTCGCTCACTCACTCACTCACACACACACACACACACACACACACACACACACACACACACACACACACACACACACACACACACACACACACACACACACACACACACACACACACACACGCGCGCGCGCGCGCTCAAACACACACACGCTCAAACACACACTCGCTCAAACACACACACACTCACACTCACAGGTTTATTGACACACAAGGTGCTATTTAATGCAGTTCTACAGACACACACCTCACAGTGTCTGGTACACTCCTTTGTGTACACAAAGGAGCACCCTTGACAGTACATCAGGCTGCACTGTCAAGGGTTAACCATGTAACCCATCCAAAAACAACCTGCACTGTATATACGCATATGACTTTCACCTGCACATATACATGTACATACAGTAAATATTTAACTATATTCACTCGTATCTGAATATATGTACATTCAGCTGCTCATTGAATTTCCCTCGATTATTGTGTTTTTCTATTAATAATTAAATGTTTATGTTTTTATGTTCTTGTTTGAACTCTTCTGTGTACTGTCCTGTGTTTCTCTCTTATTCCTGTTACACCTGCATTGCCATACGGGGATCAATAAAGGTCTCTGGGACTTTAGATGTACTTAGCAGTCCTTGTCCCCTGGTGGAGTGGTAACAAATACAAACACGTAATACAGTAATCTAATAAAGCTGATGCCAGGATGTTCCTAAACTGTGGGCTTCTAAAGAAAAGAGGCTGACTGAAGGTACTAGTAGGAGCTGCTTTGCAGTCTCCACTGACTGACTCCTCACTGTTATATCTTACCTTTTGTTATTTTTCACTGACTAGTTCTGGGGCATTTAAACACTTGAAAATCTATTTAATAAACGAGAGATTTATGGAAACATCAAAGCTTGATAAATTATACTTCATACTTAATTCTACATTGATGAAATGTATTTTGTTCAGATTTGTTCAAAGCTTGTTATTGCTTATTGAGTGCTGGGCTCCAGACGGATACACAATAAGAGAGATGTGATCAAATTATGAACTTTATTTAATATATGGATATTTTTCCAGAATGTGACCCTGCAGCTGCTCACTGGCACAGACAGATCTTCACTGGGACAGAAAAAGAAGGAAGCGGAAGAGGAGGAAGAGGAAAGTGATGATGTGAAACAGAGACAGGAGACAGTGCAGAATATACATGTGAATGGCGACAGAGAAGTCCAAGAGAAAGAATTTGAAGCCGAATCAGATTCTCAGCAAGTGAGTGAGAGCCAGACGGATGAGGACGTGGCAGCAGAGACGGAGACACTTCCTGAGTCAGAGACAGTAAGCCCAGCCACTGATCTCAGCCCCCTTTCTACCACTGAACCCAAACTGCATGAAACGGCAGAGTGTGAAGTGGAGCAGGAAATCTCCTCAAAGCAAAAAGAAACCTTTGAGTCTGCTGACCCACATAATATACCCGAAGAGAGCCCAGCAGCTGAGCACAGACAGGAACCTGTGTCAGAGGGGACTCACAGCAGTGAGGGGAGCAAAGAGAGTGAAAGAGAGAGAGAAGCAGAAATGCAGGACGGCTCCCAGAAAGCCTTTGGCCCCCCCGCCAACCCTCCCCCACCTCCCAATGCACTACCAGAGAGCTCAGGAGAGGAGCCCAGGTGAGTCCTGGCAGGAACTAAGTATATGTACTATATGTAACCTGATGAGGTCACATATAGTACATATACTTATGCCTGGCTCAGCAAAGGGGGATAGTCTTTAGTAAAACTACAAAGAAATCAAACTTAAAAACTAAAAGTGCAACCTGTGCACAACCTCAAATGATATCAAAGCATGCCTGACAGATTTGGAACTGCTGAGAATATTTTCAATTCAGGTTTTCTTTACTTCTTGTAGAAACAAGTGTATGGTTTGACATTGAAGAAACTATCCAAAGCATAATGTATGTATCTTATTTTGTGTTATTTTATATCCACACTACCATATATAAAGTTAGTTTGGCATGGACTTAATGCAGAAGTTACTCTACTTCTGAGATATTGGAGTCTTTTTTCTTTTGGAGTTCGATGCTCCTACCTCTCAGAATTCAACTGCAGTCTCATGCTCTTCATTGGTGACTGGTGGGGCTTTACCCTCCAATAAGAATCAACTGACACATGCCTTCATTTACCAGAGCTAAGGGGTTCATCCTTATAAGAGCACAGGTAGGAACAGACCTGTCATGAATCCGATGTAGACTTTTCTTAGGATAACACATTTAAAATCAAACTACAGAATATATATTGTTGAATGCGACACATCGTTGAGATGCCTGTAGAAAGAACATCGTACAGCAGGAGGAACATAAGAGATGATCCACTATGTCTCTTAAGGTTCCATTAATGATGGGATCACATGTTGTCATGATAATTGATTTGGTTCTAGGTTTATTTGACAATACAGACCTGACATGGAGATACTGACTGCTTGTCTGAATATGTTAGTAATGTAGGAGGCACATTTATTGCACGGCTTGTTGTGAAGCTCAGTGTAAATCGTTTTTGGCGTTGATGCAAATCAATTGTTGAATGCATCTTGTTCATTCGACTACTTGACTACAGTGAGGGTGGTAGGCAGTCCTGGACATTATGTTTCAATGCAAAGTGAAATATGTATAGTACAGTATAAAAACGTTGTTAGGCTGAGACACAAATATTGACAGATACTGTCATTCTAAGAATTTGCCCAACTTTTTGTATAATGTACATATTAATATTGCTTATATTCACAGAGGTGCCTATATAGGGTTTCATATGTCTTTGGTTATTTGGCTCATGATTATTGTTTATCAGGATATTATTGAATGCAACACAACATTTGGAAAATGGTTTCTTTGCGACTGTTGTCTAAACATCAGTCGCAATATTTGAAAACTATTCGAACAATTCTGTGAGCTGAAACCTTCAAGAATACATCTAAAAACATTTGCTCCACTTTGGAACCCAACACAATGATTTAAGCTATATGTTGTTTGTTTTATTAGCGATGTATCTCCAAGCATCAACAAGAAATGCAGTTTTGACGGCCAATACGACAAATAGGCCAGATCTAATTGAACTTGACAACATGTGTAACATGTTTGTGCCACCCTGCCTGTCAATGTATGCCTGATTCGTGCAAACTAACTGCTTGTCACACCTGTTGTTTCTTGCTTGCTTCATCCCCATTTTCTTTTCTCCTCACTGTCTTTATGTTCCTCCCCGCCCGCCTCTACCCCTTTTCTGCTATTCTCTCAGTCTGACTGAGGGAATGGGAGAGGAAAATGGAGAAGAACCATTTTTCCAGATCACAGCTCCTGCCAAACCCCCCGCAGCACCCAGCGAGGAAGAAGAGGAGGATGAGATGGTGAGGAAGGATGTGCAGGTCCCTGCCGCACTTCCCTTGTGTTTTGTTTCAGTGCGACTTCAGTCATTGATGTTTTATCACTACACCATACTGCTTTAAAAGATGATTACCTGAGGGTAACGATATTTATGTTATCATCTCTTTCCTTTGTGTCCAGAGCTTGAAGGGGCACCCCCCCCCTGCCCCTCTCTTTGGTGACGATGACGAGGATAATGATCTGGACTGGCTGAACTGAGATGGTTCAGAATAAACACCTGCCTTTTGATTTTCAAAGCTTAATGCAGACAAAAGGTGCTTCAGCGCTGTCTCTGAGGAGCAGTGAAGACGACAGCCTGAGTGACGGCTGCTGCCTCAGCTACAATCTCAGCCTCTGCCTTTGTTTGAAATAAGAAGCCTGCAATTCACAGAAGAATCAGAACAAATCATTTTCCATAATTATGTGATATCTGTTGGTAAAGTAATAGCACATTTGTACATGTTAAGTTGCAGATTAGTGTTGTAAACCGGAAGATATCCTATTGTTTTAATTTTTAGCTTGCTGCTTTAAGAATAAAACTTTTACACGTTTTTTTCTAAACTGAAATTCATTCCAGAAAATAAATGGAAAATGTGGCCTTCACTTGGCATGTTGTTGTGCGTGCCAAATTCAGTGTCATATTTGATCAAACCTCTGAAACATAAGTTGGGCGCTTTGTTCGTAGCATTTCCCTTAAAGTATTAACTATTTGTCTTCAGATAGTCAAACACAGGCTATTTGTTTATTCATTTGTATTCATTAGTTCATTACTGGACAGTGACTATTATGTCAGGGTGGTTGACCAGCAGGGGGGGCTTCAGAGCCAAGCAAAGCTAAACTGTTGCTAAGCTAACAGCAGTGGATGCATAAAGCTGTAGGTAAGCCGCAAAGAGGTTGTGGCTCAGTGGTTAGTGCGCTGATCTCCTGATCACGGGGGCACTGGTTCGAAATCCCGCTGCAGTCAAATATTCTGCTGTGTCTTTGGACAAGACTCTTCACCCCAAATTGTTCCTTTGGGGATTAACCACCCACAGTATTGAATGTATGTTAGTCGCTTTGGATAAAAGCGTCTAACAAGTGACGTGTAATGTAATGTGTTTTCATTTAGTTTGTTAATGTAGCTTTCATGAAACTAGAGCTTATTCAAAAATAATTAAGATATACCAAAGAAACGTATTAGAATATTACAGTATTAGTCTTACTAAGCTAAGCTAACTCTGCAGGTGTGTTGACGTCATTGTTAGCCGGGTGAGCGACTTATTGAAACGAAGCTGTATGCCTTTGTTAAGGTTAAGATAGCTCATTAGTTTTAGAATAATATGAAATTGGGAACCGGGGTTGAGAAGGTTTATTCAAAAAATTTAATCTGCAGCCTAATCTAAGTATCAGAGAAAAGTAATAACAATAAGATGGCTACATACAGAAAAACATATGCAGTGCTGGGCCCCTCACTAGAGGTGAGGAATATTATAAGTTCAGTTATAGTTAGCAAAATCGATGTGTCAATGCTGTATTCATAGTGTATTAACCATAGACTGTATAAAATGGACGTAGGGTTCGTGACGTCACCCATATCTGCAGAGTTGCCGAGAAGCCCTGGCTTTGTAGGCGGAGTCGGCCACTAACGGCTCGACAGTGACGTCAGAGTTCAACTCCCGCCTGCTCCAAATCATAGACTGTATATATAAATGGACGTAGGGTCCGTGACGTCACCCATAGGATTCTGCAGAGTTGCCGAGAAGCCCTTAGTAGGCGGAGTCGGCCACTAACGGCTCGACACTGACGTCAGAGTTCAACTCCCGCCTACTCCAAATAAGGGCAAAGAGGTGGAGCCGAGGCGGGACCTGCTGCCACCGAGCTGAAAGTTCCAGAGCTAGCTGAAGCTACCAAGCTAAGC